ATGGAAGGAAGTGTGAAACATGTTTGCCGCCATTTCTATGTCTGATTTCGGGGCTTCGACTGGCGTACTGTCAAGTCCTGTTGCTTTCCCATTCTTGATTTGTCAGATGATCGTCCTGATTTCTTCGATCGTTGGTGGAGTGGCATCTATAGGAATGTCTGTAGGTGCTGCCTCGATGTCCGGTGGATTAAGTGGGGCTGTTCTATTCTGACTTACCATATTTCCCTACCAGTTTCTTCATTGTATCATATAGTTGTCTGACATTTCCTTCTCTTGTAGCTTTGCCTGCTATCAATTCTAGGTCTTCCACATATTTCTGCTTGTCAGCTCTAATGCCCCTCTTCACTTGCTTGTTTGCCTCTGTGTATTCGACCTGTGCCTTGACTTTCGATGTTCTTGTCCGACTGTTATTAATTGCTGTCTTCTTGTTCTTTCTTTCTTTAATCTTGTCCTGGTACTTTGAAGTTAGTACTTCTTCGATCGCTGTCCAACTGTCCTCCATGGTATTTTCTTCTTTGAGTAGATCCTGCAAGGTCTGGAATCGGTTGCTGAGAGTTATCTTGAATTGGTCGAGTTTGTCAGTATGTTGAAGGAAGGCTGAATTGAACCTTTGTAATGTTCTTTTTTCAGTTTTTAAGTACTTCTTTAGTTTCAGTTCTATCCTGGAAACCACCATGTGATGATATGAAGCTATGTCTGATCCTCCCCTGGTTCTCGAGTATTTCGTTGATCTTCTAAATCTTCTAGTGATGCAAATACGATCAATGTGGTTCTGTGAAGTGTGATGCAGTGGGACCCTTGTGCCGCTTATGACCATTTTGATGAACGCACATAAATGTGCAATTCTGTCACCATTCTCGTTCCTCTCCTTCGGTCAGTCCATATCCTCCCATGATATCTTCATACCCGGTGTTTTCCATTCCAACCTTGGCGTTTAGTTCTCCTATCAGGATGGTCAGGTCCTTTCCTGATCACTTTTTACAATCGATTGCAAAATCTTGTAGTACTAATCTTTATTGTCGTTGCTGCTCTCATCAGTGAGTGCATAACATTGTATAATAATAATTGTGATTCCCTTCTTCTTCGTTTTAGAAGATGCTTTGAAGATCAAGAGTCTATAACATTTCTATCCTATGAGTGCTCTAGTATGGTCAGACAATTAGTATTTTTGTTTAGAAACTGTTGTAAATGTAAGGTAATCAAAAGTACTTGCCAGTGTTTTAATGTAATGAAACTCGTGTAAGGTCTACCAAAACATTTCACCGTAAGTTTTCACCTAGATCAAATTTCGATCCCACTTTTCGAGAGTAAAATACAGATGATGAGGGAACCGAAAGTGGCACATTTGTATGTGTCCTACTTCCTATTAAAGGCATTTCAAAAAAACCAACAAACTTAGCTTCAAGTTTTGTATATTCATAATTTGTAGTAAGGGGCATGTAGTCACTCTTAACAGAAATTCAGAGAACGTTTCAAACACCGAACATTTAAAATTATAAATCATAAAATTTTTGATATGATGTGGAAATAAGAAACTCTGGTCTCTTTCTCGTCATCTACCTACTTCATCCGGAGATCACATAACAGATCTTACCTTGGAGTTCGGTAAGACATCACTAGTTTCAAGAATACCCGTTACTCTATATGTCAGTCCAAATAAAATTATGTCATCCTGCTCATATGCAAACACTCGCGTTTGGACTCTCTTAATCAGTTTTGTTAGGTATGTTGAGGAATATACCAATCATTATCATGTTAAGTCTAATGATGTCCTTGGACTCTAAATGGGCATTCCCTATTGGCCATTATTTATTTCACTCGTTAAATATTGTACAGATGTTGTTTTCTATTTTTATGGTACGATGTGGTCTGTTTGGTTGGTATATAAACAGAGTATGTTTGAAATATAACGATTCATAACTCAGAGGCTGTGACTTGCGTTCCAGACTCAACTGGCTGGGCTAGACAGGGAAGCGGGACCAATCGGGACTGTAGGCCGTCCTTACGTGTTTACGTGTCACTGTAATCGATCAATCCACACGTTACAACAGGTTTACTATATGAAGCGTTTGCATGAATAGATTCTTATAATGTTCAGATTTTACTTCGTCTTATGTTATAATGGTTGGGTTTCCACGTTTACACGTATGAGACGTTAATTCACCTTAGACGGCTATCTCCAGTAGATTCCCCCAGTGTCTATTCTACAGGACTTCAACACACCTCGGATCAAGAACACGTGATTAGCCTGACGACAATGTAAATATATTACCACACCAAAAACCCGGCACAATCCAACAACAATTAACAATCAATAATAAGTGAGTAATAATCGTAATAAGGATAGGGGAATATATATCTCACCTGAGAACTGTCAGACTATCTACATGTCTGACTAAACAGACAACCAATCATTATCACTCTCGCCCACACATCACTTTTGCAAAACAACTTAAAACTTTGGAGGTATGAAAGGCATCCTGTGGCCAGAGAGGATTATTGATAACTGATTCCATGAGATGTGAGTAGCCTGTAATGGAATATCTTCTACCTCCTAAATTCTTTCAACAATACACTCAATTCCAAAACCGTAAGTTAGTTCTCATCTTTTATAATAGATAGAAGTCTAGAGCCCTTGTCTGGAGCATCTTCCTGACTGGAAAAAGTCGTCGCAGATTTTAAAAGCGCTCTGGATTGCCTGTCGTCACAATATAGACCTTAGTTAAAACCACAAAAAATTATATCACGTAGAGAAATTAACCGTAACTGGATATAATAACAGTTAGTTCTAAGATATATTTGGAAAGCAATCGGTATGTCGAGGGATATTTGGTCTATGCTGGCTAACAGTTGAAAGGGATGCGTAGCACGGCGTAACCATTCGTGATGGAGAGTTCTCAGTAAAACAGATGTGTTCAGCATTAAATGTTAAAGACTTACAGAGTTATTGATTTTGGGGGATTTATTTACCGCCGCAGTTATCTACTGACAATCGTGCCCATATTTCGCAGCCACATAGTAACAGAGAAATGCACAATACACTCTCCCTGGCGTAACGATGTAAGAACAAGTCAATGGCCGTATAAAAGAATTTATGTGAAACTAAAAATATCTGTAACATTAAATGTATTGTTATCAAGAAGCATTGTGATGGTCAGTCAAAACAATGGAATCTGACAACGTAGCTTATTCGTTACCAGCAATTGCGCGTATAAGTCTTCAGATGCCTTAAGGCATGTAGGGATGGTATTCACAGCCAGAGGTTCACTAATTGCGTGTGTTGAGTGGTATTATTGATGAACTTCTTCAGCAGATCTTTACTCTGTGGAACTTGACATGTCTATCACGCAGAGATCTAAGTTCATTATACAGTTCAATGTCCAACAAGTGCTATGTTGAAATGATTCTATGATGGTTATAGTGACCGACAAATACTAACTTACATCTTTAGCATATGCATACAAAATATGGCCACACGGCAAATTAAATCAATGAAGCTCACACAAGCGTATATGCTATTCCGACGAATGTTGATCACGATTATCACCTACATCCTGAAGACAAGTGTCTGATTCCGACATATTGAGTTTATGTACAAACATGTAAACCACTAACGTAGATGATCTGTGTCGAGTGACTGGGGGCTTACTCGAGTTAGAAGGGAATGATGTGACAAACCAGCTAACGACGAAGTCACACCTCACAGCTAATACATAACGTGGATTACCCTTTAATCAGGTACTATGGTTGTTTTGATGACCGTACAACACGAACGACGTTATTACATAAATTTATTAGTTGGAGTAGGTACGAGAATCAGAATGCAACCACTACCATAAAGTTGCATCCGCGACTCTACAATTTATGGACGAACCACTCAGATTTACGATAACAAGTCTTGGATTTCGGCGCGAAATTCATTCACTCACTTGGTTAAATAGAGTCTTGGCATTGTAGCTGATGTCAGTTCGTGATGAAAACGCTAAATCTAATTCCTAACCCCAACCATCAACTGTAAATCGTAATCCTTCAAACTGCTTTAAATTCCTCATATAGCCCTAATAAGTAGGCATAAATTATAGTCTCACCATTGAGTTGTCTTTGTTCTTATTACATACTGATATGGCATAATAAGTGTGTGTGTACTGTGCAAAGAATTACCAATCACAGAAGTCCCATTGCCTTGTAGCGTGGCGTCGAGTTGAGATTAACTATAAACACCGCTACCAAGAAACACGTGCCAAGCAAATCAGAAGGCGTAAGAAGCTCGTTCCAAATGACTCCATAAAATCCCCGAGAAGCCGAATACCAGAAGGCAATTAATGGACCAAGTCGAGGTTTATTAGCTGGCGATCTCGTGGCATCGAAAGGATACCGAGATCGTGCCAGGATACAACCTTGGTTACAGAAGGTAACCGAATTCGCGCGAAGTTACAATCAAAGTGTGTGTAAAAGAATGGAAGCACAAAATGGCTGTCATTAGCACAGTCAAACAAAAGCACGTTAAAACAAACACTGGTACAGTTGGTTATAATAATAATTGTTTTTATTAAACCACTCGTGTTCTCGTGATAAACGTGAGTCACTACAACCTTATGTACTTCTTTCAGGCACGTCTTAACTAGTAATTCATCGCGATGATGTCACTGAACATTCGTCCTATATCATATATCGTTACGATGATATCACTTTCGTTACTTCAGGGTTGGAGGTCATATAAAATGACAAATTCCATGATTACATGAGCGCGGACATGACCGTTAGTACACTGAGCGATACATTAGGCTTACGTGGCAACGTTGCGGATAAATCCAACCCCGGACATAGTGTGGTTAAACTTAAACCCAATTTACGATTGTTTTGGTTTGAGCACGTCTGCGAAACTTTACGAATTGTTGAGGTGACGCACCAATCGTTTTACTACATTGTGACCTTCAAGTGCGCAGTAACCTTTAACGATAGATGAAAACATCTCATCGTTTCCATGATAATATGTCAAAATGCTGAAAGGTCTTGCAGATGTCCCGACTTGGTCTTCAGTTGCTAAAGGTTTGTTATAGATGAGTCTTTAAGAGAATTCGTAGTGAGAGTATTGTTTAATAATACACTATATAGAGGTTGTCTCCAATCTTTTGATATTAATTGGCGCCGCTTTTATATCCAGATTGTGTTGGAAGTTTAAACACTCAACTTTGGGAGAAACTCGACTAACTTAAAGTAAATTTCCGGATGAAAGTCCAAGGAAACCCTAAATTTACACTGGTCTGGGAATTTCGCCCGGAATCGATACAAAATTTCCACGGAATTTCCACAAATAAGTTTATTTTCACTTACAATTTACACAGTGTCGACTTCAAATTCTGGATTTTTACCCGTAGTTTTCTCTTAAACCCCCTAAATGAGCACTTGGTTCCCGATAGAATTATTTTCAGTGCAGTTTTCGCTTTATGGAGCTACAGTTGTTTACCTGTTACTCCAAAAAAGCTGTTAGTTTTGCGCTCCCCGTATGATACCACTGTCCATACTTAATCAGTTCTATGACAGCTGACAAATAAATATGCGGCTGTGAAAATAATATATAGTAAGGGTTGGTAAGTTTTGGGGAAGTAATTAGTGGCTTTTTGTATCTAAATGCTATGTCTCGTACAAAGTATGTATCACCGTGATCAAAAGACCAAGGTATTATAATTCGGAATATTTATTCGACTGAACGAAAACTTTTTGCAATAAACAAAACCCGTACTTTGCATTTTCAAATCTTTTAAAAAGGGAAAGCAAGATAGTGGTAATTGGAATTCGTTATGTCCATGGTTTTCTTAAACAAATCAAAACATAAATTCATGATCAATTTAATATACTATAGGGTAATAAGATTATGGTTATTCAGAAAGACACCTCTGCTTTAAAATAGGTTGTACACTGAACTAAAAATGCTATTAGCTATGAAAATTTGTATACAACAATTTATTTGGAATGAATAACCTTTGGTAACGTCACTCAGTACCTGGGAGTCCAGTTGAAAAGTGGGAACGAGCAGTAGTTGGCGTCCTATGTACCAATCTACGAACGAAATATATATTACCATTTGTATCTTACGTACGGTTTTAATTAGTTTGCACTTGTATTTCATCTTAGCTTCGGTACTCGCCTGTACGCTTTATTCCTCACATCGTTCAGAAAACCTTTGCAGACGATATCAATTTTTTAAAATGTCTTTCCCATACAAGGAACATCTGATCAGTGATATTTGCTATGACACTTGCTATCAATGGTTCGGTAAAATTGGTAATTGCTTTTCGTTTCATGTAGCGTTTAAAGAAAGTCTCGATTTCGTGTCATAACATAAGCCAACATTGACTTCGCTAATATGCGAGGGTCTTTCCGACTCATCTATTATTTGGTCTTCAAGCTATCAATTTCTGTTTAGTTTTGCCTTTCAACTGGCCTTGCAAATGCTCAGGGTTGTTACAGTACATTATTCATTCCAAGTAAATTGTTGCATATAAAGTTTTCACAGCTCACGTCGTTTCATTAGGCTAATAACGACTTTTACTGCATATGTTCCATCAAAATCCTTCACTGTTTCTCAATCTTTTGTTATGTATATTGCTCTCTAAATTGAAGTCCCATAAGATCATTTGAATAGCGGGGTTTTCATACTACCTTATGTTCCATTTTAAATCAACATCATTCAAGTAATTCGTAGTGCATTGTATTGGTAATTCCTTGATATAGTTGTTTTACGTCTTAATTTACCTTTGTTTCAGAACACGGTAGACAATAATCTGATTGAGAAATCATCCGATCCCCTGTCCAACTACCACCTGTAAATAAGAAATAGGGGTTTTGTTAATTGTGAATATTTTCAGTGTATTCAGATAGGTATTTTAAATTGTTATATTAATCTTCTGATTGGACCAATACATTTATTTATTTAATTTATTTGAACACATAAATATTGGTACAAAGGGGCACCGAATACATATGCACCACACAAGTCACTTGGTCTGTGTGTGGGCTGTGATGCTGTCTGGATGCCCAGACCGAAGCAGGTGGCTTTCTCAGGGGGCAACACCTGGAGCCTTCGACCTAAAGGTCTGATCCATAAAGCGATGGAGCATCGTAAGGAGATGCGGTCCCATGGTGGCCAGTGACCAACGATTGGTTCATACGTCATTTGTTCCCGTAGGATACTGGAGCCCATGTGCACCATTGGTTTGGGATCCGGTTAAAGCGCCGGACATTCACTTTTCGTTTTCTCATTTTCGTAAACAACACCCTCGCCACGAGAAGGCAGTGAGTAGGACTTCCCTGGCCGAGTCTGTATACGCGTGCCCGTGTGAGAGCATTTCGAGAGGGAGGGTGAGCCCACCCCACTCTCGGCCATACCAGGGCATTTGGGGGTAAACATCTCGTTTTCATTCATTTTTATAGTTGCTTTTGCCAAGTGTAGGACAGTAATCAAACTGAAAATTTAGGCACTAGTTTCTGTAAAAACTACTTTTCTAAAATGCTTAACTGTTTTTAAAAATTTCATTTGATAGAAACAAGCAATTTGGTGTCAAATTTAGGATCACGTATTAGTTTGTGGCGTGGAGACATAACACATCTCCAAATTGATGCTATTGCAAATGCTGCGAATTCCCAATTGAGGGGTGGTGGAGGAGTAGATGGTGCAATACATAGAGCAGCTGGTTCACAATTGTTAGCAGCTTGTCAAAAGCTCGGTGGCTGTCCAACTGGGGATGCAAAACTTACTCCAGGTTTCAATTTGCCTTCCAAATGTATGTTCACTTTCTATTTAAAAGTTCACTTTTCTCTCTTTTTTTGTCACATACGTTTAAACAATTTATTCGATGCCCAAGTAAACTATTTAAATTCCATGTCCTACGGAAACATTAAATCCTCATAACTATATGCAAGTTACTTACTAGTAAACAGATCAGATTATCCACTTGTTTGGTTTTTGGTTTTTGTCTTGCTTTCTCACTTGTTTTTTTTCACTGTAGTCCTGTAGGGTCGCAAAACAATGAACAAACAAGTTGTATTTTAGCATTAATGTACCTTTTCACTTATTGTCTTTCTTTCTAATAAACTTCTTAGTATATTAGTCCTTCAAGTTGCCAATTGATTTGAGATTTTGAATTATTTCTTTTGGACAAACTAGCTACTAAGGATTTTGATTGTAGTATCCAGATAAGCTGCTTTCTAAAGTTGGTGATTTTACCACCAGATTATCTTTACCAAAATATAACCATTTCTAATATGGATTCTTCTTCCCGCCAAGGGTGCTAAATAAGTCTCAGTCTATCGCGTAATAAACATTTTGTTGATGTTAAAGGTATTTTTGTACACGGCGAGACTATAATTTATGGACGAACCAATCAGATATAAGATAACAATTCACGAATTTGGCGCGGAATTCGTTCATACATTTGGCTAAATAGAGTTTGGACATTATAGCTGATGTCAGTTCGTGATGAAAACCCTAAATCTAATTTTAAACTATAACCATCAACTATAAATGAGAACTCTAACAGCTTCATAACCCTCATTTAGTCTTAATTAGAAGTTGTTCACTCAAGGCCACTTCAGCATCGCTAAAAGGTCGTCCATAAATTATAGTCTCACCAGAATTTTTTCTATATATGTGATTTCCCTTACAATCAACCACAAACTTGTTTGATAATTTAGTTATTATTGTGATCAAGTGTTCGTTAATAGTCACATGTAAGAGCTGGTTTTATTAAATATATTGCAACATCTACCTTCATGTGTATTATTGTGGGTCTCGTTGTCCAAAATAAGACTAAAGTAGCCAGACAAATTATCCTTATGGTTTCCCTGATTAATTAGTATTCGAGCTGAAATCGTGACTCACCTATGAGGATTGGTGACATCAAGAAGCAACATAAATAAATATATACGAATATAATGTTAACAGGTTTTTATTATCTTAATGGGAATAAATTGAATAATTCTATTCTCCAAGCTAGGTCTATTCAGAGACATTACTAATAAACTTAACCCGAAGTTAAAAAGTGGCTAGTCATCTTGATTAGTTCTGGTAGTACACTAATAATTAGAATGATCATAAGCATTGGCCGCTAACGTTGCTAGCCTCTACCTCAATATGCTAGTCTGGCTTGTCTAGCGTGGTGATCCTATCGAGCTGTGTTGTTTGGATCACTTGTCCTTTTGCAGTCTTGTCATGCCAGGCAGTCCGGCTAGAAAGTGACCAAATGAAAGCAGTTTCCAAATTCTGTGGCTGGCTACCGTATCTGAGACATGGGGATATTAAAGTGCTTCCCAAAAACAATCAGTGACTTTACTGTCCTACCGCTTAAAGGAATTATAGGTCAATTCTAAAAGGAGCACACCCTCTTATCTCGTGAGATTTTGTTATCTGCAGTAAAGATTACCAGGTCTAAAGGTAACATTGCGAAAGGGAAAAAATGTTGACAAGAAAGGTCGTACGATCGGCTCTTAGGTTTTGCGGTTATATTTAAAAGTCGGTAAGACCGTCCATCCTAATCCGATTTCTTCATTTTCCGCAAAATGAAATAGTTATTCACAGTGCATACAATCTGAACCCTTCCAGGGAAACTCGGACAGATGATCTCAATCTACATTGTATTTTCGCCTATTTTTGTTCCGAGCTTGGTCCTCTGTAGGTGAGCTTCGGGGAGGAGTAGCCTTGATAAACTTCACTTCTTCACGTGTAGTTGCATAATACTGGGTGCCAGCTTTCAGAAACTAGGCAGGATTGGTTGCAGCACTTTTACTTAATGAGCCAATACTAGAAATACATGGGTGAATTGCAGTAAAAATTGCTTCGTAAATCTGAGAAATTAGTAGGGAGTTGTGGACACTGACCACCCAGGATTCGCGAACTAGAACATAATAGATATACCGCTGTATCCGATATGACGTTTATAACTTGATTTTATTTTTTTTAAACACGACATCAAGCTGATGCAATCCTCCCCACTTCTTCATCACTATGTCAGTCTATCAGTCATATAGTTTTACTTTTTTTATAACAGGTGTAATGTTTTCCGTATTGCTTGTTTCCAGTCGTTTTTTCAGGTTATAATTTTCAATTTCCTACTGTTCTAACCCTTAGATGTGATTCATTGTGTCGGACCAGTCGGACGGAATGATGCAGCTTTGGAATCCACATACCGAAAGGCATTGGAGTTGTGCTCTGAGCACAATATCCAGTCTATTGCATTTCCCTGTATATCCACAGGGGTTTATGGTAAGTTCTTATTAGTCTGTGATTCATATTGATTTGTTCGTCCCTTATCATTTCGATGATACTTCTTTTTTGCGTATCACCCTATCGAGTTACCTTCATTATTCGTGTGGGACTGTTGTTGTCTAAGAATAAAATTATTAACTCACAGTTTCGAGTTGTTTGGAAGTATTTTGAGGTAATTGTTTTAAATACTAAGTAAGAGATTCTCGTCTCTTTTATAAGGTCTACTTCAAAATCTTCCTGTGAATGACACTTGTACTGAATTGCATATGGAACATTTAAAAATTAAAAAAAATCCTGACTGTGTCACTTACCTTAAAGATGTCTTATTCGACCCCGGTATATATGCAGTTAGAGACAATGTTCTTGTCATATTTCGTTTCTAGTCCTCAAGTGGAACATCTTATTCGTCCTTCGACTAATTACCCTGTTACATTCATATATAAATAAATAAACAAATTTTCAAACAGAGAAACTTGTCTAGTTTGTTTTATTGTATTCACGTAATAAGTGTTACTAGTCGAACACCGATCATCACGGTATTTGTATAGTTATTACAATATCCTTTGGTTGTTATTATATCTCACAGTAAATTGAGTAACTGTTGATAATTTTAATTTCTTTTCAATTAGATAGCTTTTTTGGGTCAATGACTGAATCTTGGCATGAATTGAGAATACATTGTGTCAGGGTGTTCATCTGAATGGCCCTGTTGTCTCTACTATGGGTTTATCTTTATAAAATAATGAGGGAAAAAACCTATTATCTCCGAAAGGATATCTGCACCAAAATAAAAAATAGAGTAAATATTCAAGTCCCACACAACCCTGCACAATCGATTGACACCTCAAACAAGAGTTCACCATAGACTCTCAAAATATTACGAATATCCAAGTAATGACACACTTGCTAGATACGCCTTTCAGTGATAATTACACCCACAGGATCTCTTAATTAGTAAGGCGAAGAAGTTATTCTAGAGCTTGAAAGCGGTAGGCTTAATTATGTTTCAGAATCTGTTAAAATATTGAAAGCTGGTCTATATAGTCACTACAAAGCTCAGAAATGTTTACTTAAATAGCTCGTAATGTCATCTGGTAGACCGACATGCAATTTTCACGGCCATAATTTAATATTAATATTATATTAAATTATATAGTGTACATTTTAATCCCTTATATTTCAACTCAAGGTTTCCCTAATGAAGCAGCTGCCAAGGTGGCACTTCATACAGTGCTCTCCTATCTCAAATCTCATCAAGAGGTTGGTTTTTTGGTAGTTTATATTTAATAAAATGCATTTTTAACGTATTTTTGTAATACCGTTTTACATACTGGAGGATTGTCTTATCATTATCGAAATCTATCGATAATAACCAAAAGAGGTGATTGGAAATTCGAAGACTGGTGTATTATCTCTAATGACTTCATTTAAATAATACATAGAAGATCGGGTATGCTGATGATGAGACCCATGTACGTTTAAAATAATAGCAAATATTGTGGAAATTATATGGAAATAGTTCTTGTGCAAACGAGGCCAAAAGTGTTGGGTTCGTTATGTGTGTAACATTTAAGCTACTGGTTTAAATCAGTAATAGTGAGTGGTAATGTTACAGTTAGCAATGCATCGATATGTTAATGTTGTATTTATTATTAATTGAGTCCTTCAAAACATGAGTATCATTTTATTAGCAATCATTTCTTCATAGCTTGATCGTTATTATACGTATGTGACAATTTAAGAGTTATATTGAATTTGTTCCCGATAAATACGATGTGCCAACATTCGTTTGTAGTTTCTTGCCTCTACATTTTTAGTATACAATTAATTACTTCCAGATTATAGGCTTTTATCTTTTTGGGGAGTGGGGAAGTGTTTTATTCCCTATTCGTATCAGAAGGGGTTTTGTGGATATTGTAGTAATTTCAATAATCGAGATCATGAGTCAATTGAAGCTAGACCACCATGGAAAACCTGAAAGCATTGGACGGCCGTTTCGTCCGATGTACAATATTTCTTTGGTCATCATAGGACGAAACGGCCGTCCAATGCTTTCAGGTTTCCCATGGTGATCTAGCTTCAATTGACTCATGATCTCAACTGTTGATATTCCCTATTCCTTTGTCTTTTCATTCATTTCAAAGCTAATTCTATTGTTTGTCAGTTGAACCTCGAAATGGGATTAGGTTATTGCCTTTTTCATATGGAAACAGTACTACAGAAAACACTTGTTTACTGTTAATTGTATAAGATACTGCATATAAATTGATCCTAGTAAATTTAACGAAAAGTGAAGTCTTGCAAATACTTATTAACTGCTTGGATTGTTTTGTAGTTGAATCTGATTGGTTAATATGGTGATAGATTGCATCTATTGTTTCTAAGGCTTTGTCGGGAAACATATTAAAGCACTAAGTGAGAGTTAATCAAAATAGAAACTTAAATCATAGTATGCAGAAAATGATTTACTTTAATGGTTTTTCACATATTTAAAGTTGTATTCAATTACATAAATACAGTATGATTTGTTCATCATTCAGCTCTAAAATGTTTTTCTTGATTGAGAATGAAATCTTTGTAGTCAAGCAGTTATTTAGTTTACTTTCTGTACTCATCGTTTATAAAGTAAACAGAATTTCATTCGATCATACTTGTCTAAGATACTCGTAATTGTGGAACAGTATAGAAGCTGTGAATATAAACAGATAAATTCGGTTTAGAGTGAAAATATTTCAAAAATGAAGCAGAAGTGTTTTAGAATGACTCAGTTTTGTTTTATAAATTATTCATCAGGATGCTTTCATATTATTATTATTATTATTATTATTATTATTATTATTATTATTATTATTATTATTATTATTATTATTATCTGGTTGTATATAGTACTACCATGTTCTATTGGGTACTGTTTTTTTCTCTTTCAGATTCAACGTGTTATCTTTTGTATATTTATGGATGTTGACTATAAAATTTATGAAAATTTAATCCCGGAGATGTTGGATTCTTACAAATAACTGAGTCTGAGTCCGTGTTTTGTATTCCTGAAGCATTTAGTTTTTTACGACTATTCAAATTTCTATTTACAATCATATTTGAAACAAATAAAAGAGTGTTTTCGACATTTCATGTTATATGTGGTTATTTTATTTTATCATTAGTTAACCAAGAGCGTAATTCAAATTAATATTTTTGTTTACATGTGTTTTCTTTTTACTCTGGCCTTCGAATATTTTATTTTCTCAAATCTTAATGTATTCTAGAAACATATAGTTTACTCTCTGACCAAGTGTTATTTCGGTCTTGACATCACCATTTTCTCTGGTTTTCTACTGACTGTTCAAATATTGGATATTTGCAATAATTTACTAGTGTATAGTCTATTTATAGTGGAACAGCCACGTATATTAAGTCAAAAACACTAATTATCCAATTAAGGAATGTATCTTATTTTGTTTAATGTTCAGTCAATAAAGGTTGGTTATTTTGTTGAACAAGTTTCCATGTTGAAGCCGATAGGTTCGTCTTGGGCAACTAAAATAGAACGTGGAAAAAATTAATAGGACACTTATTTATATAATTTTTAGGATGAACAATATTTCGCTGGTCGTCATATTAAATGCTATCTTACAAAATTTGGCAAAATAGCATTTTGGATGAATCTTGTATAGATACCATTATGTATATCAGTTCAAACTGAAGCGGTTGTATGAAAACCAAAACGTTTAATCAGTAATCTAGTTTATCACGCTCTCACAATGTAAGTAATCAATCTGGTATGTGACGAGGAAATAGAAAACTTTACAAGTTATATAGGTGCATTGGCTCTTGGTTTTCATAATAATAGGTTTATTCCAAACACAATATTCATCGGGAGTTCTAGTTTGAGCTGCTTACTATACATTTGTGAAGTACCCTGTTTCGATCTTTTTTCACCTGTTCTGACTAGTGGACAGTTTTTCTGAATACTCTCATAAGATTTCTATTCAAGTAACAAAACCTGTCAATGATTGAATTCAAAAATTTTGAGGTCTGTGTTGGTGTGAATTGTACCTTGGGGACTCTATCGCGTCACATTTTTGGATTTTATAGTAGATATACTCTAGTATATCCGCTTATCACCAGTATCAAGTCATATATTTCTTGACCATCTTCGAGTTTGACCAATGAAATGCAGAGTTGTTTATATGTGATTAAATATATATTAAGCGGTGTTATTACCAATGGGGGAATATTCGTATATTCAGCATAGGCTAATGTGCGTACAACAAGTAAGTCGCTCTCAAAAATGTCACAATTTATACAGTATATGAAGTTTACTAGGTGATGAGTTTAACAGAAGTCTTTCTATCAGGTAAATATTCATTAGCATGTGAATCTATTTTTACAATCACTAGTTTGTTTCTTGCTGTAGTTTTGAACGAATACCATCAACGTATATGGACGTAAGAATCCATTGGATAGGGTATGCTTTACTGATAATTCGATTCTAGTTTACATAATTAGATCACAGAACTATTTCCAGTCATTAATTGAAAGTGGTTATACATTCACCAAATAGAAAAGACGATTGCTTCGAGATTCAAATATTGAAACTTAATGAGTAGATTAACAAAAAGCTACCATAACAAACTTCTCTTCATTGGCAGTCAACTACTAATACCATGTTCTCAATATAAACGAAAATTGGCTAAGTGAAATAATTATCGGTGAATGGTTTAGATCATAAATTCATTTTCCAAGATATTTTCCCTTGTATTGATTACCCTGGGTTTTCACGTTTCGATAATATATTAGGTAGTTTCAATGTTCCTCATCAATCCTAGTGTTTAGATGGAAATAGAAGCCTTATTAAATAGTTAACAGTTTCCTTCGAAAAAATGCAACAGCTGAGGATGTATTTCCAAAAACATGAAGTTAAAATTAATAGAGGGAAATGAAGTGAGTAAATTAGGTAAAATTAGATTCTAGAGGGAACCAGGATATACCAACTGGGTTTCTTGTTGATTATCATTTTTAACTTCATTGTGATGTGACCACTGCATAAAAATGAGGAAGAAATAAATATAGTTTGAGCAATCATAGCCATACAAACTGTAAGCACAGCTAAATTGTTTAAATCAGTCAGACATCGATACATCAGTGAATAAGCACCCATTAATAATAATTGATGTTGGTTTCTCGGTGAGCCCCATTTTATTTCATCGAGTTCATTGTTTGGTACTGAAGAATTGAAGTGATTCTCAAAATTATTTTACAGAAAATCGGAACATTATAGAGAATAAATTGTGGAATAGGACCAAACAAAAATCTAACTCTGATAATTTAGAATGAATCGAAGTGTTTTGTTGATGTAAGATTTTTCATTCGAATATGACGCAGAATATTGTGGTAAGATTACTTATGACATCTAAGTTACTTAAAATCTGTTACTCCGATTAATATATCTCCGAATTATTAAAACACTAGAAGTGCATTTAAGTGAATTACAGTAGTGTTTTTACTTGTATCGGATATGGATTTCTCGAAGTTCTGTTGAGTTGTAATTTAAGGAGTCTGGAGTGAGACGGTTACTTGTTGACAATATTGAATAAAGACTGTACTATGTGACAAGTTGACTATATAAACCAATCATCTACGACTTACTTTCTCGTAGGAGTCATGATGGCCTCGGGATCTGGAGGTCCTCCGTTTGTCGTTGCATGATTTGTCGAGTGTGTGCTACTGAGGAGTCCTGGAATTGGACGGAACAGCTGCTCATCTCTTACTAATTTTCCTGCTGGTATGAACTCTTGATGACAGCCGATCGTTAGATTAACTGTTTTTGAACGATAACAATAGACTATGCATGTTCTCACTTAGTTTCTGTCAGTAAGGTGACAAAACCTCATGTAAGTTACTAAGGTTTAAATTTGATTCAGTTCTTGTTGGTTTCTTATAAGGGGTCTGTCTCATAACAATACTCTGTTTGCCTTCGGATTTCAGCTACCAACGTCATTTAAAGGGTTTATGAAAAAAAACCTATTTTAAACTAGAATACATATTGATAATATTTTGAGCAACAAGCTACAGTATAGTTCAAAATACAGATTTCATCCTTTCTGAGACATTCCAGGTGAATGTAACCAAATTTCGTTTTTGATATTCACGGTGAGAGTCATATACTGAGCACTCATCACCTCTGTGAGGACTTAGCAAAAGGATTATGCTGATACTGGTATTGTTGTTTGCTGTGACAGTGGTATAACTGCTACTTATTCTAACGGAACAAGACTGTTACGCGGATGTAAGGAAGAAAGAAGTTCTGTAAACGAAGACTTACTTATTCATTAACCACTAATTAAAATGGCATCAGAAACAACGATGAGATACACATCATTTCAAATGCTTGTTTGACAGATGAAATTGACTGCATTAAACCAGTAGTAGTTGACATTAAATACTCGATTCTTTAGTGTGTATATAGTTTGCAAAATCAATAAATCAACTGTCTTAGCTGAGGAATATAATTCATCATTGAATTGTATAGTTATCTACTTCTTAACAACGCATAGTAACAGGATTATTGGCTATAATGTTGAGTCAAAGCAGCCTCTGACCTATCCAACGGCTACAATGTTTGTATTCTGTTGTAGTTAATATTTGGGACTTCGTTTAATGGTTCTCTATTGGTAAATGAGATCCTTGAGTGGATGAGTGGATATACCCTGTATTTGCAACTTGATTATACTTTAAGCAATCATTAGCTGATGGTAGATTGATTTTCTCACTGACTTTTGTAAGCTGATGGAATAGATCAACAATGGAATAATTTTACCCAAACTTTGGTCATCTTTATATTTTTTGAACTACTGGAAAATGTCTAACATTCATATTATTAAAAGTTATAAGACCTGATTAGATCATCCAATCTAATCTTAACCAGTAGACTAAGTTTTACGTGTAAAGGTAATGGTTCGATTCAAAAGCAAACCTAGTTTCTGGCTGAGTATCAACCAACGGCCTCCAGGCAACTGGTTCGACCCGTCATTTTACTTGGTAAATGTATAACTGTATAATCTTACTGTGAGGGGAGGTCATATTACATACGTTTTCAAAGTGCTTGAATAATGTTTATTTATTTCTCTTGAAAATCAATAAAGTCAGAAATTAATCTTAGTGAGATGAGAATAATGTCATACCAAAGAGCCTTGATAACTTATCTAGTTTCACAACGGAAATGCTTGGTAATTTATGTTATACATGAGTAATTAACATATCACATAATGAATTCAACTTTTATTATTATTTGTTAAACAATCGGTTGACTTCTTGCTTAGTTATTTCAGTGTATGTATTAGTAATTAGTGTTAGTAATTAATCGACCTTCATTTCATATGAACTATTCACAATGTATATTGTACCTCCATCTAGCTGCTTTGCTACACGATTAGCTGAATAATTATAAAACATATCAAACTTTATTTTTTGTGAGCACTTTAAAATCAAGTGTTTATTAAGTGACGAATTCTTAGTTTTATATGTGTAAAAACATTTTTATTTATAGTTTATGTCACGGACTAACTGCAGTTAGATGCCCGTTGAAAACTAAACAATCCCATTCCGCCATTCATTTACGACGAAACACAAGCAATCGAACTTATAATCTTTAGGTTACTCAGTAATCACTTTATCTTTAAACCACCCAGAATGAATAGAATAATTTGCATTTTCAACCTCAGCCTATCCATGATACTGCGTTGTTAGTAAAATCTAGTTCAGTTTAGTATTAAAAAGCAGTCAATTATCACTGAAAAGAACTGTTAGTAAATCATTTTTTTATATATCTGTTATTTCTCTAACTTAATGGAAAACAAGGAGTTCCAAGTAAATTATGAACGGATGATTTGCAAATTACTAAAAGATCCCATTCTGGACTGTATAACCAGCTGAGTAGCTTTATCAAGAGCAAGATATATTTCTCAGTTTTTCTCCTATTTGAGAGATTTGCATGGAAAATTGAGCGTATTGTTTTTGA